CTACTACTCGTACTACTACTACTACTACTACTACTACTACTACTACTACTACTACTATACTACTACCTACTACTACTACTACTACTACTACTACTACGACTACTACTACTACTACACTACTATTACTACTACTACTACTACTACTACTACTACTACTACTACTACTACTACTACTACTAACTACTACTACTACTACTACTACTACTACTACTACTACTACTACTACTACTACTACTACTACTACTACTACTACTACTACTACTACTACTACTACTACTACTACTACTACTACTACTACTAATACTAGTACTACTACTACTACTACTACTACTACTACTGCTACTACTGCTGCTACTACTACTACTACTACTACTACTACTAGGACTACTTTTACTACTACTACGACGACGACGACGACGACGACGACTACTACTACTACTATCACTATTACTACTACTACTACTACTACTACTACTACTACGACTACTACTACTACTACTACTACTACTACCAGTATGAATGCTACGATTACGATCAGTTTGTTTTACGGTCACACGATTTCTACTCCTACGATTACTCGCGAGCGTTTCTTTTTTCGCCGTTCCGAGGTGCTAAGATAACGGTCCGTGGACGGGAACGATACCCTTGGATGGGCCACTCCCCCAAGAGAGCCGACGGACATTAGTTTCATCTGAAGCATTGCAATAGGAATCGTAAGGGCGCGGCGCTAAGGCGAATGTGCGCTGCGCTCAGGCGAGAGCTGGATTTTGAAAACGAGCCGCCTCCAATCCGTCACACAAGTGCACATGTTTAAACACCAATGTGCGCGGCGCCAAGGCGAGAGTATATTTTGAAACCGGGCTGCCGTCAATCCGTGAAGCTCGTGCAGATTTGCATAGCAATTTGCGCGGCGCCAAGGAGCGATCCACATTTCGACAACGAGCCGCCTTCAGTTTGTGAAGCTCGTGCACGTTTTTCAAAATCAATGTGCGCGGCGGTACGGCGAGAGCTATATTATGAAACCGAACCTTCATCAATCCGTGAAGCTCGTGCAAATTCTTATTGCGAGTGTGCGCGGCGCAGAGGCGACTGCACGTTTTGAAAACGAACCGCTTTCAATCCGTCAAATTCGTGCGTGCACATTTTGAAGACCACTGTGCGCGGCGCTAAGGCGAGAGCGATATTTTGGAACCGAGCCGCCCTCAATCTGTGAAGGTCGTGCATTTTTTATAACGAGTGTGTGCGTCGCTAAAGCGAGAGCTATATTCAAAGACAAGCCGCTTTCAATCCGTGAGAGTCGTGCACATACAAGAACGAATGCGCGCGGCGCAAAGGCGAGAGCGATATTATGAAACCGAACCGCCCTCAATCCGTGAAGCTCGTGCACATTCTTATAGCGAGTGTGCGCGGCGCTGAGGCGAGAGATATGTTTTAATACTGAGCTGCCTTCAATCCGTGAGAGTCGCGCGCATGTTGGAAAACCACTGTGCCCGGCGCTAAGGCGAGAGGTACATTTTGAAACTGAGCCGCCCTCAATCCGCAAAGGTTTGTGCAATTCTTTGTAGCGAGTGTGCGCGGCGCTCAGGCGCGAGCCACATTTTGAAAACGAGCCGCCTTCAATCCGTGAGAGTCGTTCTCATGTTGAAACAAACGGAATCGCGCGGCGCTGAGGCGAGAGCTATGTTTTGATACTGAGCTGCCTTCGATTCGTGTAGTTCGTTCAAATGTTGTATAGCGGGCGTGCGTGGCGCCAACGCGAAGATTTGAATTTGAAAACAAGCCAGTTTTTTGTTTGTTTCCTGGTTGGCGCGGTGCTATGGTTTTCGCCAGGCTAAATTTGCTTCCTTTTTTTGTGAGGTGCTAAGGTAGCTTGGGGGGGGGCTCTGTAATGCTTCTTGATTTGACTCGGTTGTTCGATTGCCCTCTGGCTGGCACGTTTGAGGAGGAGGGCCCAGGGAAAGGGGGGCAACGGCGACGACGACGACGACTCAGACGGAAAAGCTTTTCACACACGCCGAAAATGGTTGGCGGATTTCCAGTGTGGGAAGCGTGCAATTTGACGACATCCGTTTGAAAATTCCAATCATGCCAATCACCTTTCCTGTAACTTCATCGCCGCAAACAAACGTGTTTGCTGCGTCCTGACAATCCTCAATTGCGCCAGAACGCCATTCCTGGGTATTCAGCACCGCGAATCAACGTGACTCGTGCTTCTCGGCAATCCTAAACCGTTCCAGAGCATCGCTTGGACGTAACCGTACGAATCTTCGATACGGTTTTTAACTTTTACACCGAATATGTGATGAGGAGGACAAGTCGAAGATCACGACGAGCAGGCGGGGAAGGTTGAAAGAAGGAAGATCAGGAAGACGAGCGTAGGAGGCGAGGGTAAGAGGAGGATGAGGTGGATTCGGAGGCTCCCTGACCTTGTTTGGTGTCTTCCTCGATTTCGAGGTCGCGTTGACTTTACCGCAGTATGAGTTGCGCTTGCCCGCGTAAGTGGTCGGAGGAGGATAAGGATCGCTTCAAGTTAGCATCGTCTCAATGCTTTATGGGTCGCGCTTTTAGAAGCTGCGTGGCGGCACGGTAGCGTGGCGCGGCCGTTGTGTCTTGTCGTTGTCGTGTTGCCTCTCGGGGGCCCTTGGCAGGTTCTCGGGCTGCCTCTGGACCTTCGGGCCTTTTTTGTTTGGGACCGTCGGCGAGTTTTTGGGCCGTCGTGGCGCGGCCTTTGGTTGGTCCTCGTTCGGCCTTTAGTTTGCCTTGGGGCTGCGTTGGGGCAATCTGAGCCGCTTGGAGGCAATCCATCTGGGGGCATACTTCTACAGGACGAAACATTTTCTTCTTGAGGTGAAAATGGCGATGAGGAGTTCGCGAAACAACATCGACCCCGCCGAAAGAACGGCGTCTGCTCGAGCTGTTTGCAGCAACCGGGAGGAGATACATGTATTCATGTTGAGTGGGGCCCGCGCGCGCGGAGAGTTGATGGGAGTGCGCGAGACAGCGCAGGTCCCATCCTGGCAAGTTGATAGCCAAACCTCTCCCCCCTGGAGAAAATTAACACGGGCTGGTTGCGGTTGCGGGGTTCGCGGATCCGATTTCTTCCAGTTCCCCGTTTCAGTTTACAGCGGGGTAGAAATCGGATCCGTGTGAAAAGCAGGACCGGCATCGGAGCCCCAGCATCCGAAGGCGGGCCCCTTGCGGGTGGCGGGTGGAAATTGGATACCAAAACGACAACTTACTCCGCGCAAGTTTAATTTGATCCGACGGTGGCTATCTCCTACGCATCGGCTCCAGTCGGCTCCAGACTTGAAGCCGACGTTCCGGTCCCAAGAGGAACAACTTTCACCCTGGGGATGTATTGAGGCTACATTGGCCATCTCCTTGTGAGAGCCGAATCATACATCATTCCAAAATGACTAATAGGTGTGAGTGTGCATACAAGGAAACATAACTTGGTGCGGCAAAGAAAGGCAAGCAGGATAACGAGCAAGCAGGCACGTACGCAACTGGACAGGCACGTATAGAACAAATCAGCCACCAGTGCAGGCTCCATGAAGCAGGCGACGGAGGAAAATATGCGCGTCCGAGAACAGGCCGCTCTCGGCAACAAGATTTTCGGGCTTCTGCGCAGAGGGTTAGGAGCTGTGCTGCACGTCTTGTGGCCCTGCTGGGGCCACAGTTGCCGATGTCCTTTGTTGATTCATCGCTCGCGACAAAGGCTTGGGACCTTCGACGAGGATACGGTTCAGCGGGCAAACAAACCAACATGCGCAGCATGTCTACGGTGAGGAAGAGGAGGACAACGAGGAGAAGGAGGATAACGAGGATGTGAATTGAGTGCAGGTGAGCGCATACTCCGTGACCTCGTGGCCTTAGCCTTCTTGTCTCATCCTCCTGTCGCCCGCGCAATGCCAAACGAACGAGCAGGAGGACCACTGTAAACCCAAGACTGATGAACGATGTTGGAACATACCCTCCCCCAAGCTCGCTCTCTTTAGGCCCCTTCACGGGTTCATTGCCAGTGAGGGAGTGGCCCCGTTGGGAGACAACCGCTCACATATCCCGAAGCGTGCCACAATACCATTTTCATGGCCTCAACGTCGCGAGTCAACCTGACTGAGTCTGGACGATCCAGAATCGTGCCAGAACACCATTCCTGGAACTTCAACACAGCGAATAAATGTAACTGTTGCGCCCTGGCAGTCCTGAATCGTTCCAAACGCCCTTCCTGGCACGGTAACCATAAGAATCCGTGACACCCTTGTTTTTTTAATTCTAAAACGAATGTTCGCGGCGCTTAGGCGAGAGCCACATTTTGAAAAGGAACCACCTTGAATTCGACAAGCCCTTGCAATTCTTGGAAACGGTTTCGCGCGGCGCTTAGGCGAAAACCGCATTTTGAGAACGACCCGCCCTCATTTGGTGAAACCCTTGCATCTTTGTTGACGATTATGCGCGGCGCGAAGGCGAGAGCCGCATGTTGAAAACCACCCCAATTCGTGAAGCTCTTGTAGATTTTTGAAACGAGCGCGGCGCTAAGGCGAGAACCACATTTTGAAAACCACCCGCCCTCCATCTGTAAGACAGTTGCCAGTTCTTAAGCCTCACGCGCATAAGTGACAATAAAGTTTCAGGCGCAACGCCCGGCCCGCCCCTCGGACTGGCTTCGGGGTGCGACAGGGAGAAGTTATACATAGGGAAAAGGAATGGAGGAGAAGGGGGAGGAGGGAGAGGAGGGAGGAGGAGCAGTCGTGCACCCCCCACTCCGCTTCTCCCTGCCCCTGCCGTGCCCACTGCCCTGCCTCTGCCCCTGCCTCTCTGCCCTGCCTTTGCCACCGCCTCGCCCTGCCCCGCCCTGCCTCTCCCTGCCGTCCCCGCGCCCTTAGCCCGCAACCCTGCCTTGCTTCGCCTCGCCCCCCCGCCCCCGCCCCGCCCTGCCCCGCGCCGCCCTGCCCTGCCCCGCGCTGCCGTGCCCCGCCATGCCCCGCCCCCGCCCGCAGGGCAACCCTTCCATTAGACCCGACATGGACAAGGAGAGCCTCTACGGCAGGTCCCTTGGCGGACTGTCGGTGACTGGGACCGTGCGCGGGCTAACCCGATGATGACGAGGCGCATGATGATGATGATGATGATGATGATGATGATGATGATGATGATGATGATGATGATGATGATGATGATGATGGTGATGATGATGATGCTGATGCTGATGCTGATGATGCTGATGCTGATGATGCTGATGCTGATGCTGATGATGATGACGACGACGATGATGCTGATGATGAGGAGGAGGAGGAGGATGAGGCGGAGGAAGACGAGGAGGAGGACGAGGAGGCGGGGGAGGTGGAGGAGGAGAAGGAGGAGGAGGAGGAGGAGGAGTAGGAGGATCAGGAGGAATGGGAGGAAAAGCGGCAGGAGTTGGAGAAGGAAAGAACATGTACGGGCATCAGGAGGAGGCGGAGGTGGATGAGTTTGAGGAGGAGAGACGATGGAGCGGGAGGGAGGTTGGTGAAGGGAGGACAGCGGGAGGGGGAAGGAATATTTGATTCGGACGTGGGTTAGAGTGAAGCGCTAAATCCCATACGCTCGGCGCAGAGACGAGCGAGGAACGAATAAGGACCCGAGAAGACGAACGAGCGAGGGCCACAGAAGACAAACGACGCAGGGACAACGACCAAGCGAAGGTTCGAGGCCAAACGCACGAAGGGGAAACAGCAAACAATCAACCAAACTCGAAAGGCATTAAAACAAAGCAATTTATGCAGCAAGCAGGTGCAGTCTCCGTATGGGGGAGATCACAGGTCTGCAGCGGCATACGCGGCTGTACTTCTTTCCAGCATCTTTCCGCCACCCTCAACTTTGCTTCCCTTCCCCATGAGCAATTGTGGCACACATGGGCACGGACCGACCTGGACGCATCGATGCCAGGTTCCACCACGGTTTGGCGATCGTTGGAGCCCGCGACGAGGAGCCCGCAGTCACGCTGGCGACGAGGAGCCAGCACACGAGTCGCACACAAGGGAGAACCAACAAGGAAGCGGCTTAGCGGCCTGCTTCTCTCTTCGAGCGTGCGCGCGCAGGCGAGTAGGGCAAGCTATAATCTTCACTTGCGCTCTGCATCACACAGCAAGCAGGCACATTCTCCTTTGGAGATCCATACCTGCAGACGTATCGGCGCCAGAGAGAGCTGAGAAGCTACAGGATATGTTCCGGCGCTTACCTGCTTGGGAGAGCGGCAGGGAAATGCATCACAATGCTTGCACTGGTACTGGAGCCGAGGGGGCCGTACCCCCGTAAATTCCCGTACCCCCTCAGATCCCCGCACCCGCTCCATTTCAAACCTCACTGTAACTACTTGTGCAAATTGGCGGCCTTGAAGGACCACGCGGGATCGAACGAAGCCGGCAAGGAAACACGCACCAGTGGGGGCAAGAAGCGCATATTTTTGTATATGTGTATATATAGATATCTTTATAACAAGGGCATGGTCAAGAGGACTGACATCGCCAATAGGTGCGTTACTCCTAGGGTGCCGCCCGTCTCACATCGGATTCAATCGGCTAATCGTGCCACTGGCTCGGGGACGACCTTTGCACTCATGCTTCAGATCCGCTGCACTTGTCTGAGAAGGATCATGCGAGGATGATGATGATGATGATGATGATGATGATGTCGAGGATGCTGACGATGATGATGATTCTGGTGCTGCTGCTGATGATGACGATGATTATGACGGTGGTGTTGATGATGATGGTGGTTGTGGTGAGAAGGAGGCGGAGGAGGAGGAGGAGGAGGAGGAGATGGATGACGATGATGATGATGATGATGATGATGCTGCTGCTGCTGCTGATAATGATGATGATGATGTTGCTGATGATGATGATGATAATGACGATGATGATGACTGTGATGTCAATGATAATGATAATGATGACCAGCTCGCCGACTCCCGCGCCGTCCAGCTCACTGACTTTCAGCGCGGCCAGCTCACCGACTCCAGCGCCGACCAGCTCGTCGACTCCCGCGCCGACCAGCTCACCGACTCCCTCGCCGACCAGCTCGCCGACTCCCGCGCCGAGTGGCTCGCCGACTTACGACCCGACCAGCTCGCCGACCCCCGCGCCGAGATGCTCGCCGACTCCCGTGCCAACCAGTCCGCTGACTCCTGGATCGACCAGCTGGGCGGCTCCCGCGCCGTGCAGGAACGTCTGGCTCGTTCCACTCGAGGCGCCAGGGAAGTACGACGTTGTGGAGCCCGGCGGGGAGGAGTGAACCAGTGAGCGCTGTCGGCCAGTGTTCCAGCCTATTCTCCCTATCCTTTCCCCTCCCCGCTCCTCCTCCTGTGCACGTGCTCCGTCAATTGGCTTGCAGCGCTGTTTGCATGTGGGGGCCTGCCGGCTTGCACTCGTGCGGTCGACCCAGTACGCCGCGCCGGCTGGGTGCCGCACACTGGCTTGGGCGGTCGCTGCTCTTCGGCGGTCTGGTCCGGCGATGGGCGCCGGGACCTTTAGTGAATATACTTTACGTTCGCCTGGCATTTCTTTTCTGCGCTGCGTCACTGTCTCCTTGGTCCCTTTCTCCTCCTCCTCCTGCGCATGGGCACGTGTCTTTCAAGCTTTGGTGGCCCTTGCCACCCTGGAGCGCTGCCGTGGTCTCTTGCGGGGCAGACGTTTCGTGCTTCCTTATTTTTTTTCACTCGCATCCTGCACTAGCCGGCGGTTCTTTGCCTCACGTCCCCTGCTGCTGCCCCCTTCCCGCTCTTCCTCCCGGCTCCTCCCTGCTGCCAGCCCTCCTCTTTCTGCTTTTCCTGCTGCTGTCCACCGCGTGGCGATGTGCTTCTGTCGCTGCACCAGGGCCATTGGTACGTGCAGGATGGGCACGGGACTCTGCAGCCGACCTTAGTGTTTTGTTTTTTTCGGTACGGTGCGTCTGGGGAGCTATCAGTGCTTCTATGGAAAAACAATGATAATGATGATGCTGATGACGATGAAGAAGATGCTGATGATGACGCCGATGATGATGACGATGATGATGATGATGATGATGATGATGATGGTGGCGATGATTTTGCTGCTGATAATGATGATGCCGATGCCGATTCCGATGCTGATGCTGATGATGAGAACGGTGATGATGATGCTGATGATGACGATGACGATGCTGATGATGCTTATGATGACGGTGATGATGATGATGAGGTTGATGATGCTGATGATGATGGTGGTGATGATGCTGCTGATGATTCTGATGATGATGACGATGACGGTGACGATGATGACAGCGACGGCGATGACGATGACGGTAACGATGATGATGCTGCTGCTGCTGCTGCTGCTGATGATGATGACGATGACGAGACGACGACAATGGTGATGGTGATGCTGATGATGTTGGTGATGGTGGTGATGCTGATGATGCTGATGGTGATGGTCATGGGGATGGTGATGGTGGTGATGGTGATGGTGATTATGATGATGCAGATGGTGATGACGATGGTGATGATGATGATGGCGATGATGATGGTCACGATGCTGATGGCGCTTATGATGACGGTGATGGTTATGGTGACGATGATGTTGATGGTGATGTTGATGATGCTGAGGGTGATGATGATGATGCTGATGATTATGGCGATCGATGCCGATGACGGTAACGAAGATGATGATGCTGCTGCTGATCATAATGACGATGACGAGATGACGACGGTGATGATGATGATGATGATACTGGTGGTGGTGAAGATGATGATGTTGATGCTGAGGCTGATGCTGATGGTGATGGTGATGATGGGCATGGTGATGGTGATGATCATGAAGATGAAGATGATGATGATGATGATGATGATGATGATGATGATGATGATGATGAGGATGAGGATGATGATGATGATGATGGTGATGATGACTATGATGGTGATGATGCTGATGATGATGATGCTGCTGATGATGATTATGATGGCGATGATGCTGCTGATGATGATGCTGCTGATGATGATGATGATGATGATGATGATGATGATGATGATGACGATGCTGGACGGGTGAGAGCTTCCTTACCATATTGTGGCTTGGTTGTCCAGACTGTGAAGAAGTTGACGCACGCGTGTCATGTCTTGCCCTGCCGTGCCGTGTCTGATTTCACGAGTGCGAAACAGTTGCTGTGCCGTGCCTTGCCGTGCGAGGTTTTCAAAATCCGGAGAAATTGCTGTGCCGTGCAGTGCCCCAGACACTGTGCTGTGCCTGGTTTTCCTAATGCGAAATGCGACATGGTAGCCAGCGCGGGCCCCAAACATGGTAGCCAGCTTCTAGCTGTCTATGTGTACAATATATGAAACAAACTGATTATGTTGTGCAATCTGCGTAGTGGCATCTATGTTGTGCAATCTATGTTGTGCAATCTATGGTGTGCAACGGGGTGGCGACAAACGAGCCCAGAAGACGGGCGGCGACGAGGCGGCGACGTGGCGGCGACGGCGGCAACAAGGCGGCGAATCCGACAAACGAGCCAAGCCGTCGGGTGGCGACGAAGCGGCGACGGGGCGGCGACGGCAGCAACAAGAGGGCAGACCCAACACACGAGCCCAGACGACCGGCGGCGACGAGGTGGCGACGAGGCGGCGACGGGGCGGCGACGGCGGCAACAAGGCGGCGGACCCGACAAACTAGCTCAAACGACGGGGATTGCGACGAGGCGGGGCGGCGACGGCGGCAACAGGGCGGTGGATCCGACAAACGAACCCAGAAGACGGGCGGCGACGAGGCGGCGACGGGGCGGCGACGGCGGTAACAAGGCGGCGGATCCGACAAAGGAGCCCCGACGACAGGTGGCAACGAGGCGGCGACGCGTCGGCGACGGCGGCAGCAAGGCGGCGGACCCGACAAAGCAGCCCCGACGACAGGTGGCAACAAGGCGGCGACGGGTCGGCGACGGGGCGGCGACGGCGGCAACAAGGCGGTGGACCCGACAAACGAGCCAAGCCGTCGGGTGGCGACGAAGCGGCGACGCGCCGGTGTCGGCGACATCAAGACGGCAGACCCAGCACACGAGCCCCGACGACTGGCCGCGACAAGGCTGCGA